TTACCGAACGTAACGCGCAAAGATTCACATGGTAACGCGGAAATTTAACAACGAATTTTTCAACCATGCTGTTCCGAGATTCGCAAAGGGAACCACCGGGAAAAAGGACAAGAGTTTCCCGGTGATCCTCGAAAAGGATTAGCCGCAATTGATAGCCACGAGCATGGAGGAACGTGCTTGAAGCTGGCGTTACGCACCAAAGCGTCGACCATTTAACTATTCGCGTTTTAACCGTTTCGAAAGTTTGCGTACTGTGTTCAGTCCCAACCCAGCTCGGATTCGATACGCAAATGAGCGAAACAGCTTAGTTGAAAGAATTTTTAAAAAAAGGAGTATGAAATAAGAAAACATGGAGTCGAATTGCATGAAAAGGTCCGACGTAATTATTTGATGTCGTGTCTTGTCTTGATATCTCAGTCTAAATGCGGTCGAACGAATTTTGAAATAAAAAATTTATTGCTCGTTTGGACCCGCGATCGTTCCCCGGGTCGTTTTGACTGAAAGGGATAGAGAACGGTTGTAGAACGTGCCGAACGCGGAATTAATTAGAAGCAGCTGCCGACATGGAGAGGCTAGACGCGATCGCGCAAGGGTAATTTTGATTCTGATCCAGAATTAGGGACAGACTAGTGTCCAGTGTTCAACGTCCTGCAGTGTCCGGTGGTTAGTGCCGGACCAGATGTCGCCACGGGCGTGACGTCACTGGTTAACTACCCTTTCGCAACCAACACCACCACCACATGGCATCGCCACCGTCAACCAACCCTCCCCTCCCTTTACCTTCACCGCACCCGACGGACACGATATACGGGGATGATTCTGATTAATTACCGATAGTTACACAAGCTGACGCCACGCCGTTGACAACCCTCGTCAACAGCGCGGACCTTCCCCCCCGGTTGGCTATCGAAAATCGCATATCCGATTAACTTCTTCGCGAGCTTCCATTTCGTGCTGTTTTTTTCAAGTGAAAAACCGTTGCACCGAAATATCGATAGAGAATTGAATTTATGAAATATCTTCCGCTGGAATAAGTGGATTTACAACGAGGGAACGACATAGTGTGATCTGCGAAATGCAAAATCTTTATCGAATCTCTGTCGGAAGGCAAAGTATACCTAGAAACGTACCACTGAGGCAAATTCATTTATCGATTCGTCGAGGTTTAATTCGTTCAAAGGGCCGCTGGGAAGGATTGTTATGCGAGAAGGGATGAAAACGCGCGAGAGCAGTAGCATCCCCTCGCGAGATGCATCGAGCCACGACCAACCGATCGGACCGCCAATATTTGGCAATTACGAAATATGAGTTTACATTTAATAATTGCGGTAAACACCGGCGGACGCGGCGAGTGGCCACAGGGGGTGGGCCCAACGAGATATGGTCGCATGTTCGTTCGTTCGTTCGCTCGTTCGCTCGCTCGCATTTGGGGTAAATTCCGATTTACTCTCCGTGATAGGCATTATTCGACGTAACCCGCGACTACGTTTTATTCGCTCCAACACGCCGCGAACCTCTGTTTCCCTTTATCATCGTCCGCCGAGATAAATGCCCGCCGCACCCCGAAACTTTTTGTTCGCCAGTCCCTTGTGTGTGCTCTCGAACATACAAGTACACGCATGTATGCGTGCACGTGCGCCAGCGCGCCTCTGAACTTTTCACGCTCGCGTCTGCCTTCGACGTGTACATATTTGCTTTCTCCCCTCGATTTGCCTCTTCTTCTCTTCTTCGTTTCTTCTTTTTCTTATGATAGCGTACGACCATCTCGTACCGCGCCGGTTAAAGCGCGAAATACTCAAAGAACCATTGCGAAAGGGGTAGCAGAGATTTCGCGAGACGCTCGCAGACGATAAGAGACAACCCCCCTGCCTAAAGCCATATACTATTAATGAGAATATGATCGATATTAGCAAACATTTCCCATGGGATATTTACGCGCGGCAGTTCGCTTAGATCGATAGCGTATTTGCGATCTGTCGCGGTTATCGACGGCGACGTTTATTCAAATGTAATATCTCGTCCGCCAACGAAGATTACCTGCTTGGAAAATGTGTCCCACAGGTACGCATCGATTTTCCTTTGCGCCTCGACGACCCGCCACTCTTGTTTTGTCCTCCGGCTTGACTCTTCTTCTCCTTTCCTCTTTTCTTTTTCTTTTTTTTTTTTTTTTCGTATACTCGAATTACCCTCTTCTGGACGAGCATCGATAATGTATTGACTGTGACATTTTTCTGCCTGTCTCTGTTACCTTTTCCGAAACTTTATATAACAGATCCTTACAAAACGAAAGTCGTACTTTTTTTCGACCATCCTCGCCGTTTCATCTTCGTGATCCTTTTTCTGGCTCGTTAATCGTTAATTCGTGGGAAACACGAGTAAAGTTCCGCGAGATCCAAATTGCTCGCGGTTACGTAATTGCTCGAACGGATGCAACACGCAAGTGGGAAGACGGAAAGAGGCCCGATAAGCACGAGGCATCTCGACTGTTCGAAGGGTACGGGCATATTCGTGTTGTTACGTAAATCCACGGTTAGAACCTTGTCACCTTTTATTCGAAGCCCGTGCTCTCCCTCTTTTCTGCCTCATAGACGTTCCTCCGAAGGGCTCGGCCACGCACACCGATTCGAATCCACACACAATCTCGCGCGAACACGTACACACGAGCATCCCCCCGTCCCGTCGTTCCTCACTCTTCTCGCGTTCCTTTCTCCCCTTTCTGCTCGCTGTCCTACAGCAGTTCAAAAAGTTCTCCAGCCACTCTCGACGCAAGCTGTTTCACCAAGGATCTCGCGCCTTTTTCCAATTTCTTAAAGAGCCGCGACAATTTATGTGAAACGCGTTCATAAAGTACTGCTACCACCACCCCTACGGTTACCCAAACCACCCCCATTCGAAACCTCGTGTTCCATCGAGTTCGAACGCCAGTGAAACCTGGAAACCGAGCAACCCCACTCGCCTCTCCCTTTCCTCTGTCAATGGTAGACTTCTTAAAAGTTACTTCGACTCCGTGTTTCTCGATACTTATTAGCTCTCCCCTGTCGGTCGGCTCCTCGCACGTAGTCACCTTCGCACGTTCACGCGTTCACGCGTTCATGAAAGTTTCGCAATATAGGAACGTGTGTCAGCGAACGCATGCGTCCACTTTTGCTACTTACGGCTCTGGTGTTGCGTCGGTTTCTCTAGAGGGGATGAAGAAAACGCAGCGAATTTCATCAGGATGGGAAATAATTATGCGATGAAACGAGTGAACGACGTTGAAGCGACGTTTACATTCACTTTTTCGACGAAGAAGCAGCGCTGATAGAGACTGGAATGGCGATTCTTGTTCGGCATGTTAAGGTTCGATGTTGACGT